GTCGTGTCCTTTTTTTGTGAGCTCTTCTGTCGATTATCATGGAGAGAAAGTAAGGTGTTGCGGTGCATTATTGGTGTTTGTTGACAGAGTCAAAGCCGAAGGTTGAATAGGTGATGCGGTTTCGCTTTTATTAGGGCGTAAATGGTCTCCTCTCAGGGTGAAATTTTTTATGTTTGGTGCACACAGTGAGAAAAACGAAATCCTTCTTTCAAGATGATGAATTAACATAAAAAATGAAAGATGCAAGTATTTGGATTCAAACAAAAAAATCAGCTGCATCAGACTGAGAACAACCAGCTCTAGTAGACTACCGTATAAAGAGAAGGAGCTGTTTCTTTATTATCGAAAAATTTTCGTGAATAAAATCGATTAAAGTTAAGAAATCCTATAGGCACAATCCAAATTACCAACCCGATTATTGTGAAACAAAATCAATATTAAAATCCATTGAAATCGGATGTTTTTGTCAATTAAAATCTTTTCGTAATCGATTATATCATTACGTGACAAAGGTGAACTGGGTATCAATTATTGTCTTTATTTCATAACTGTTAATCTTTTGTTTCTCTTTTTTAAACCAACGTCACTATCTTGTATAGCTCAATAGTTACCATTTTCAAGATCCCTTCTTTCTGATACTGTTAAAGCAGAAATTCAAAGTACGCCTGATTTGACATTAGCATGTCGTGGTTATTTAATGAGCGTAATCCAGGTAAAGCCTCAAAAAAAATCCCGTCCAATATCTCAAGTGTTTTCGTTTTAGTTTAAAAGCCATGAAAACGTCCTTTTACAATTCGATAGATAATAGAAAGACGAGTCGAATGGGCTATTTAAAAATGAGTTTCCGTTTCGTATGTTGAACGCATAAAATCATGGTTTTGATCAAAACGTAGTAGCCAAAATTCTTTTCTCCACATCAAAACTCAATCTACAGTGGACAGGAAAAGTACAAGCTACGATGTTTTCCTCATATTTGTAAAATAAACTATGCAATCGAGCTCTTCCATTTTGATGCAAAAGAAATTGTCTTGGGAACAAAGCATATTGCTGTTAATGCGGTTCCGCGCCAATTTTTCTCTTTTCTGTTATTGTATTTCTCTTTAATTCATATGGACAATTAATTTACAAACAGTAAACTAGTGATTGTATAGGTCAAATATTGTCTTTTCGCAGTTGTCTAAATGTTCGTTAGTCCATGATAATGTCAGGCAATCGGGTGTTATCTCTTATCTGCGTTTAAGGCGATATATGATTATTAATTTGGTTAAAAAACTTTTTGAACACTTTTCCTGCTTCTGTTCGAACGATTGGAGATGATACGAGATAAATATAAAAACTGCTGACAAAATTCAAATAGTAGAGTAAACGAACAATTTGTGTGACCAATGTTTCAACTGCACTATGAAATGAATCTTTTTGAACCCTGATGGTAATTGCTGGATATATCAACTGAGAACAATATGGTATCGACGACAGAATTATAATAATCCATTGCATCACTAACATTGTTGTTAACTGGCCGTCAATTCGAGAAGGATGATGATGATGATTTGGATTTGTACGACGTCTCAAATTATGAACATTTTTGATCGTTTTCAGACTGAATAAGAGTGGTAAAATTGATGGTAATAAGCTGTAGAAAACCGGATAGAAAAGATACAATGCTGGTCTTCAGAAAGGATGCCTGGTTTTACAAGTAGGTAAGCAGACTAAACAACAACCGAACAATGAAGCAAAATTTTTGAAATTTTCACACTTAAAAATCTTGCTTGGTATTCATGTATGTTGTCTTGTATAATAAAGACTTAATTTCCCCCTAACGAATCACTTTTATTTTCATTTTCATTTGTATTCTTTTGTCAATTTTATTATCACGTTACTTGTGTCAAATTTCAAACACACCATACCTATTGGTAGTAGCAACATGTACAGACATTAGTGTCCTGCGCGACAAGCTTTTTCGTTTGTCCCGTTTCGAACTTTTCTATCACATGTGACTTTTGGACCGAGAGCTCGACGGGTGAGAGAACTGTCATTTTATGTGTAAATAGTCCATGAGTTACACATCGCTTTGTAGAAGACACTTGGCTCTCCGCTAGAGAATGTCTGCCGCAAATAAGCTCTTTGAGGACACCTCTACTGTAATATAACACCTCATTCATAACATTAACTCCAACAGTATACACGAAATCACAACATTGTACGATCCATTTGCAAACGCTATGTATCTGAACGTTTATTTTCATTACTTTGCATTTACTTTGCAGTTTCTGAAATACTCCTTTTGAGAACATGCACGTCGAGTACTTTGGAGTAATTCTTAAAAAAGAGTTATCGAGATTACTCTTTTCTGGATCACTCTTTTTGGGAAAAAAGTGTATTCCTTTCTTTTTTTCCAAAACGAGTACTCCATCATACTCCTCTTGATATCTTTTTTTTCACTGGGCAGTATATTCTCTTGAAAATGTCACTGACGAAGTTGCCCGTCCTTTGAGTGCCTGTTCTTTACATCCGAACGTACCTGTTCCTTAAATATTTTATGAGTCGGCCTGTAGAATGTATTTGCCCCGAAAAATTTGTCCGTTCTCTCCAGGCCGAAGCAAAATTCTTGAGCCCATATACGAACCGGGCCGGGACGATCACTGATACTGTTCCAAAACTGAGCGAGACGATTTTTCTTCTAATAGTGAATAGGTCCTTCCTGTTAAAGGATTCAAATTCCCAAAACGCATTTCAGGAATTTCTCTTAAATAAATGCCATTCTTAAACTTGTTGGTACAACAAAGTAAATAAAACAACCTGGAAAAAGTAAATACTCAACAAATATCTCTTTTCTGCATTGATCAAGGTGTCTATAGCACAAAAATCAAAAACTAACGCCTCAGTAGGCCGGTGTAATAATGGAATTCAAAAATAACCGAAGGATTGTCAGTATAAACGGCGTTTAGAACGTTTAGTTCAGCAGGCATGGAACGCAGTTCTTCAAAACGTTATACATGGATATACAAATCATGTGCCAAATATTTGTAATCAAATAATAGCCAATCATGGCTGGGAAAGCACAGGGTGATAGACGCTTTCACGTACTTCGAGATTACACACTTAGTTTTGTAATAACTTGTTCGTATATTAAAAATAAATTTGAAAAGATGAATGAAAAAGAGACAAAAATGTATTCCTGGAGAATGATGATGAGGGTGTCTTTGTTGAGCTTGAATGTTTTTCCCGAGAACAAACGCAATTGAAAAGATGCTTATAGAGATTTGTAGAGAATTTCACGGGCTATCCGAATCTATAATTGCTTTTCCCAAAATGTTGATTTATAGTGATAATTAATTCAAAATACTGATTCTAACTATTTCTGACCAGGGGGATATATCATGAATGGTTTCGACGCTGGATTAACTCTTAACCAAAATAACATGGTTTGAAATCGAGAAAAACAACAACAGTACAAATTATCTAAGAAATACGCCAGGCATCTCTGGTAAAGCAAAGCTCTCTATTCAATACTGGTTTTCTAATAGTTTACTTAGAAAATACGTTTCATACGAAAAAGAAACAGTCACTTGGAACGTAAATTCGTTCTCCATAGTTTATTGTGTGTCATAACTTGAGAACTGGCTCCCGTCATATCAACAACGAATGGATACCTCTCGAAAACTATGATAATCATTTATTAAACTCCATGCCAACTGAGCGTGGGGAGATGACACTCTCCAGTGAGTTTTTCTTCCTGGCATTCTCCCGTGTATTTTGAGAGAAACGGTCTTTCGATCCTCTTAGTTTTATTTTTAAAAGACTTCTCCCAAGCGCGGCATCTTTCTTGAAAAAAAGCATATTATATCTCCTGCTTTTTTCTTTCGGCTTACCTCCCTTGAACGGTTAGGATGACTTGGCAGCATTTCTCTCAAATCTATCCTTTTTCTCATCGCTTTTTGCCGCTTTGGACATTTTTAAACTTTTGGCTAGGCTTTTCAAATCTCTTCTCCAGCTATCGATTAAGGATTATTTCTTACGTCTTGCGCCCTTACTATGGATCTGTGAGGCTTAAAGAAGTGCAACAAAACCCGTATCCGACCAGAAGGCTGAATACGGGTAGAAGTTGACAGGTGTACGGATAGAGCAGTTACCGGTGCGGGTTCCGCTTTTTTAATTTACCCGAAAACCAGAAGGTTTTAGTGGAAAACTACGAAATTTTAGTGTAAAATCTAAGCTTTTATTTATGACGTTTTAAAAGGACGTTTGAACTTGGGCATTATTCCTTTGTGTTTATGCTAAAAGCCATTAATAGCTTAGTTGAGATATTTTTTGAACTTTTTTCCTTCGTATTTATTAATAAATATATATTGACTATATATATTAACTAAACGTTTCGATATGTTAATAGATCATCCTCAGTAGTTTAAAAAACGAAATAGTTTATAGATCCACAATCTAAAATTATAAACAATTTTTCAATATGATAACGGTTATACGATTCTCTTAGATTTAATGCGTTGCTAATTTATATTTCAGCTATAATTATCGTATCACTACTACCGTTATTCGCCTAGATTTTAGTGGAAACTGCGGCTCCATGTAGAATCACAATATATGGATAGTTTCTCAAGAGAGAAGAACATATTTTTTACGCAAATATTTTCAAATTTCAAGTATGATCAGTTAAAAGTACAGGGTTTCCTCCGAATATTCGAATAAAACATCGCAATTTCAATACAAATGTGTCTAATTTAAGCTGATGTGGAAAAACTAATATAAAAATTAAAAATTGAGATATTTTTTTGTAAGGTCTTTTGAACATTGTTCACACCGAATGGCCATTACATGTGATCCGTATTCTGAATAGAAGAAAGAACATTTTTTGATATGCACAGATGAAGTACGATTACAAAAGTTTATGCCTTGAAATTTCTTGAACTAAATAAACACGCTTGCAAGAAATTTTTGCAGTCCGAATTCTTACTTGCTGTATGACCATCTTCATCAGACTTTTGCATAATTTTTGCCACTTTTTCTTGCCACAATTGATCAGCGATACGGCGCTCACGTTGCCAATATTCTTTAATGATTTCATCTAAAAATGAAAAGACTCCCTAGTTTACCACTTCAGTATCCTATAAAACTCTTCTACTTACCCGGTATAGACATATAAGCTAAACGACGTGAAATAAGGTAGTTGAATAGTGAAAACGGTAAAAATTAGTGTGTAACTAACCGCGAATACAAAAACGAGATGCGTATCGTTCACATGGCCATAATAACAGATTAAATGGCGGTATCATTGTCTGTTTTCCAGCATATTCTTCAACTAGTAAATATCGATGGTAGCACCATTCTTCATGTGAGTTATTTTTCACTCTGTCGATCGTTGCACTACAAGAATAGTAACAGAATAATTGCAAGAGCTGTTAAATAGATATTGCAGTCAAGTTGACAAGTCATACATTAACACTTTAAATGGTCTAGAGCTTAAATCAACAGGCATAAGTAACAGAAGCTTACTTAAAAAGTGCAATTAAATTGTTCAACAACAAGATGTAAGAAATGACAACAAATACTATTGTTAGAATAAGAGTAACAGTTCCATATGTATCATTTTGAGCTAGAAAAAACGTTACTTTGAATAAATTATATTACTAGAAAATTTTTTCTCTTTTTGCCTATGTATTGTGGTTTTAAAAGGTCAATTGTCGACAAACTAACTCCACCAAATATTTTCCATACCCCCCATTCTACGAGACTCCGAATGGCTTTTGAACCTCTTAGAACGCTTCCATTTTGGATAATGTTAAAAGTACCATTTGTATGCCAAATAACTTGATGTGACGTCGATATTAGTGAGAATGAAGTAACAGAATAGGCAAATAAAAATATAAGCACAAAAAATATGAAAAACAACAAATCTTTCATCTAAACAAAAAGTGCTTGTAAGAAAACCAATAGAGTACATATTATGGTTACTTACAGTATGCAAGATCATTAAAAGTTTTCCGCCCAATTTTTCACTGGCAAGAAAAATGTGCAATATTCTCATGTACCATAAAAATAGACAGATGCACATACTTATTCTAAAAAACATAAAATCCAGTTTTAGAAACAATTGGCTACGGTACTTTGATTACACTTATAAGAAGAAGTCGTAGATAATCGATGTCCTAGTACAAATATTCATGATCTAAGAAGCGGCAAGAAAACGAAAACAAAGAAGAAACTGGGATGCTTCTTGAAATAAGAACCGTTTCTGCTCAATAGTGCTGATACCCAAATTATCGAAAACGGTCATATTGAAAGTTTTTTAACGGTTTTTCATAAACTGATCGTCACATGACAGTCTTTAGATATCTAACACAATTTATTCACCGTTTTCAAGCATTTTAATTGGAAACGTATTTATGTCTAAAAGTGACAGTTTTGGAAGACCAAAAAACGGTTCAAAAACAGGCATTTAACCCCCTCCTAGAGAATATTATAGCTACAATTTTTGGATGAATCAGTCCATGTCAGTCATTGTTGACCTGGATAGTGTCATCTCTACATCATACTCATCATACTACAAACATAGAATTAGCGGCCACTTTCTCGACGCAAGTTTGTACGATTATAAGTGACTTTTATAAAAAAAAACGATTATAAATCGTCTCTGATGCAAAGGTCTCTGATTCTTAGATCATTGTCAGCAATCAAATGACCAAAAAGAACGATATTTGTTAATTCGCTGTTTTTTTCACATTTTAATGCGTATCAAAAACCCCTTTTCAGACATATAGTTCATAGGCCATTTATGCCTGTTATATTTGTCATGGGCACTATTCTGTTTTGAAAGTATAATTTGAAGGAAGAACTTACTTGGAAAGAATAAATGCTGGTTCTTTAACAATAAATCGACTAGTAAATCCCACTACATATATTCCATATGCCGTCAAATCAATTGTGTTCCATTTATCATACCAAAAATATCGCCATATTACCTTACCTATTCCACGAGTTTCAGGTAATTTACGAGATTCCTTATAATGTTCTGACATCTAGCAAAACAAAACAGTAATGTAATGAATATGCAGTATGTTTGTTAACCGCCAGCATACTTGTCGTAATTCTTCAAAGAATAAACTCCAAACGCAAACATGTACAATTATTTCTGTTATTGGCATGAACAAATTTTGAATTCCTGATCGCTTTTCACCATTGATATTCAGTGGAAAATAATCGAAGAGTAACATATCACTGAACAAAATCAAGTAACCCATATAAAACAACTAAAAATAAAGTTTTCTTCTTCTACACAATTAATTAGTGAGCAAAAATAAAGATCATTAGATTTCTAAAAATGACACTTTATTTGATACTGAACCCAGATTAGAGAATCTTGCTGTAAGATCTTATAAGATTCTTGCATGATTCCGTCTGATTTTGTAAGATTCTGTAAGAAACATAGAAACTGATTCTTGATGTAAGATCTTATAGTAAGATTTCATCAGATTTCGTAAGATTCTTGTATGATTTTTATAAGATTTTATAAGATGAATACGTTTCTATGATTTTCCGTAAGATTTTATAAGATCGTGTAAGATCTTGATCTGTTTGTTTGATCTGGTAACTAGTTGTACCCGATTGAAGCTAGATGGAATTTTCATGTATTTCAGTGCAATTAGTTGAAGCTAGGTAAATGTACGTTTTAATCTAGCTGCAAGAGTCCGCTTCACGATTTTTTTTGTGCTTGGGTGGGATGGGATGAAAATATTTGTGGGGCGAAGCGTTCTGTACCATTCTGTTGGTTTAAATAAAGATCTAGTATAGGTAAACCAAAGCACTGGGACTATGATGGCGCCCACATTCTAAGAAAATGTACTATGTTTTCATTTTATGTGCTTTTACTCGTAATAGAAAAAATAGAAAAAAAGCATTTCGAGCTCGTGAAAGAATAGGAATGGTCCAAAACGCAAATTTCTTTGGTAACTAAGAGTATTTGCCTCAGTATGCACAATTTTGAGCTTTTTCAATATTTTTTCACAAAATATTTTCATATATATGGTTCTGTAGAGCTCGACTAGCTCTAGCTAACCGTATATAAATAACGTCAAAAATTTTTCGTCAAAACGTCAAAAAATCAGTAATAATACAGTTCGTGATTACTAATCGCTCCTGAAATTTTCAGTTTATTCACTTGTATTTCCCATAAGTTTGAATCTTGGTTCCATAGAGAATTCGATGGGCAACAAAACAGTGTATCTGACATGCGGGTGACTTGAAACATTTCCGCATAAATTTCAAAATATTTCCCAAAAATAAAACACTACGGTCTGCACAATGTCTGAGCACATCGCTTGTTTTGGGGCGACCTTCTATTGAGGATCAATGCTTGGCCAATTATTAATCAGAATGTTTTTGAAGCTCTAATAATAATTAATAAATTTAATTCATGTTTTTAAGGTGTTTTTCTCACTGAACAGCTACAACTTTTTGTAAAAGTTGTCACCGTAACCTTGACGGGATTAATATGTGAAATATGATCGAGCCACTTTCACTGTAAACGAGAACCAGGTCTATGAGGATGCAACTTTCTCGTTATATACTCCCATACTCATTAACGATCGTGTTTTACAAAAGTTACAAGTCGTGCAAGACAACACATCGACTTTTTGTACATTTGCTGCTTCTTACTTTATATAGTAGTCCACAAAGAAAAAATGATGATGGAAAAATAATACAGGAGACAAGAAATAAATCAAAATAAGATTTTTGTCGACTTGAAAAGTGAAAGGACGAAGAGAAGAAATACAAAAAAATGATTGAAAAGACAATAGCGTAAATCATAATTTGTGAAGGCTGAAAGTTTGTCTGTAACACTGCGAATGTTACAGCTAAATAAAAGCGCCGTTTGGCTGTTTACATAACGACCTTTTTTCTCTTCCCGACAAGTTTTATGACGTTTGTGCAGCATACAAAGAAATGTGGTTGGAAAAAACCAAGATTGTTCTAAGCAAGTGAAAAAGCTACATTCCAAATATATTATAAGTAAAGCAGAGATCAAGAATTGATAGACACTTGTCGACGATCAAACTGAACGTCTCGGATTCGGAAATAGTCACCAGTGCTGCCGACATCAACTTTCTCTTTTGCTCTGCAAAAAAAGAAAGATGAACAATTATTATTACTTGTCTTACTCTCATTAGTACGGTCAACACTTTTTTGTTCTGGGGTGGTGCAAAAGAAGAAAAGAAAGATCTCGGCAAAGTAATCAGTACCAATCCTGGAACAGTAATCGGTATCGATCTTGGAACAACCTATTCATGTGTGGCTGTTTTCAAACATTGTCATGTTGAAATTATTGAAAACAATCAAGGCAATCGAATAACACCCTCATATGTTACCTTTACATCCAATGGTGAACGATTAATCGGTGACCCTGCCAAAAATTTACTTACATCGAATCCTCAAAGTATGTTCATTTAACTTGTTCGTGTTTTAGTCTTCATCTTTCATTGCGTAATTATTAGATACGATATTCCATATGAAATGATTGATTGATCGTGAATTTGATGATCTATCCATACAACAAGACATAAAACATTTTCCATTTTTAGTTTTCAGAAAGGATGACAAACCGGTTGTGAAAGTAAAAACAGGCTTTGGTGAAAAATTGTTTACACCTGAAGAGATTTCGGCAATGATACTTGGCAAAATGCGTAAGATCGCTGTACGTTTTCATTGTGTTAAACGGAGATAATCATTTGTTGATTCTAATAGGAAACATACCTTGGAAAAAAAGTAAAAAATGCTGTTGTGACTGTACCTGCCTATTTCAATGATGCTTAACGACAGGCAACAAAAGATGCTGGTACTATCGCGGGTTTGAATGTTATACGAATTATCAACGAACCGACAGCAGCAGCCATTGCTTATGGTTTAGATAGGTTGAGGAAAGAAAGGGGCTTCAAGACTGTTCTTGTGTTTGATTTGGGTGGTGGGACATTTGATGTTTCGCTTTTAGCATTTGAAGATGGTGTATTCCAAGTACTCGGCAATACACATCTGGGTAGGTGCTTTTCGTTCTTTTTTCATAAGAAACAATACTTTTTTTCATCCATAGGCAGTGAAGATTTCGATCTACGTATTATGGAACATTTTATCAGATTGTTCAAAGAGAAACTAGGCAGAGATGTACGAGAAGATACTCGTGCTGTACAAAAACTTCGTCGTGAAGTTGAAAAAGACAAACGAACGTTGTCATCACAAACTGAAATAAGAATTGAAATTGAGTCATTTTTTCACAACGAATATTTTTTTAATGAAAAATTGACACGTGCCAAATTTGAAGACCTCAATATGGATCTATTCCGTTCGACATTGAAACCTGTAGAAAAAGTCCTGGAATATGGAGATTTGAAGAAATCTGATATTGACGAAATAATTCTTGTCGGTGGATCGACGAGAACACCGAAAAGTTGACAAATTATCAAAGAATATTTCGATGGAAAAGAACCATCACGTAATATCAACCCGGATGAAGCTGTCAGTGAGTGAAAGCTGAACAAAAAGAAAAAAAAATCATCTTTTGATCATGTCTAATGTTTTTGTGTAATAGCCTATGGTGCGGCTATACAAGGAGGAGTCCTATCGGGCGAAGAGAGCACTCAAGATATTGCCGTGTTGGATATCAGTCCATTGACAATGGGCATTCAGACAAAGGGTGGTGTTATGTCGAATATTATTCCACGAAATACTGTCATTCCAGCCAAGAAGATGCGAAGTTTTACAACCACGACCGACAGTCAAGATACAGTTGACATTCAAGTGTTTGAAGGTGAACGATCGATGGCGAAAGACAACCATTTTTTAGGGTAAATTTGATCTCAATGGTATTCCACGAGCACCAAGTATTGTACCAAGTATTGAAGTCACATTTGAGATTGATGTCAATGGCATTCTCAAGGTCAGAGTAGTGAATCGGATTGAAAGAATAAATATGAAATGCTATTTAGGTCACTGCTGAAGACAAGAGTACAGGCAACAAGAAAAACATTGTCATTAATTCGGATGCAAATCGTTTGTCACCCAACGAGATTGATCGAATGATAAAAGATGCAGAAAGATTTGCGGATCAAGACAAAAAATTCAGAGATCGAATAGATGCTAGAAATAAACTTGAATCGTAGGTATTCTCTTCAAAGTACTGCAAACAAAAATTGATATTATGACACTTTTTAAACAAATATGCCTATTTATTGAAAACTCAATTGGTCAATAAGAAGAAATTATTTGAGAAATTATTATTATTGGAAGAAAAGACGACGACTGAAAATGCTGTTGAAGAACAAATCAAGTGGCTCGAATTGAATCCAGATGCCATAATCGGCCAACTTAAAATACATAAAAAAGAACTTGAAGATATTATCACACGGATCATGGATAAATTACAGAAAGAGAGCAAGAGAAACTGCACGACCATCGCACGAGTACGCTGATGATTTGTAAAGAAATATCGAATTATTCAACATAGGACAGGTTCGATTTGTGTGTGTGTACAATTGTCGAGATACTCGTTATGCATTCATTGTCTTGTGTTTTGCTTTTTCTGTCTCTAAAGTTCATTAATGGGGTATGAATTAGAGTGATGTTTTAAAACATGAAATACGAGTCTAATTGTCCGTCTCGGATCGTCAATCATACAGTCAGTACTCCTACCATCATCTTTTGATTGAATAGCGAAAAATAAACAAACGACATATCTATCAAAGAATATTGTCCATGAGTCATCGAATAAACAATAAAAATAACAGTTACATGATGCATCGCAATCACACTCAAATAGTTATAATTCACAGTGTTATCGCAATTGACGCATAATAAATAACACTAAAATGCATAAGAGTGTGTATGTGACGGAGGGGGTAAAACGGAAGAGGACAGTAAAAAAATAACATCTTTTTTGTCTCACTACCTTTTTGCCACTTCAGATTCTATCGTTTTTTGAATCAACAACATTTCTAACATAAAGGAAAAGAAGAACAAAAGATGTTTGTCGTCAGGGAATTGCTCACGCTCGTGGTGATATGGTTGATTACAATCCACAGGTATGTTTATTATACCATCTTCCTCCTGAAGTTGCTTAGAAATTGCTTTGTGCGATTTTATCGTCTAAACAGTCGTGATTCTAAGTTTGAAGACAAAACTTCCAAATAAACATGTTTCTACAACCAAAACAGCAAACTTCCAACTCCCTACCTCAAATCTTCATCAAAAACTTTGTTTGTTACGAGCGATCGCCGAAATCAAGGGATTACGATGGTCGTACAGTATCGAATTTCACTAAATAAATAATTGCCGAGTTTTGTCTGGCACGCTCCAATGAATGTGCATGTCTTTATTTTATTCTGATTAGTTCCAATTCTTTCTTTCAAATTTACATGTCCAAAATATCAGTAAACAATCTTCGACACTTTTTGTTCTTTTTTCTAACGAATTCCCAAAATTCCAGTACAACTTTCAAGTAGATAATCTCATTGTAACGACAATTCAAGTCATATAAAACTCGAGGAACGAAAATATTAGCCAATCATTCCGAAATGTAAATATAGTGTTTTTAACAAAAAATTGTTGTATGAATCTGTGAGAGGATCAGAATCTCTCAGATGCCTAACCCTGAAGATCGGAAGATGAAAACCGCCAGATTGTATCGCTTATTGTGGAATCACGCGCTATATATAGGGCAATGAACAAGAAGGGAAAATCCCAAGGATGCACTGTAAAAATGAATCTGAGACATTTCCAGCACAGATAGTTTAGACAAGTAGACTGTATCATTGGTCTGAGTGTGTAGAGCCAGACGGTCACTTCTCAGTGTGTACTTTACACACCTACGCCATGCATTCTCGAAGGTCACTGAGGATCGACTTGGAGTTCACTCTATGTGTGTCATTTACACACTTTATATTTTATAGTGTGGTGATGAACAAGAAAGGGAAAAATCCATATAGCCTGACGGACAGGAGAGGAAAGGAAAAATCCATCGAGTGTGAAGACCAGGAAAGAGAACGAGAGAACACAAGTGAACGCACAGTGAAAGGATGACGCAATGGGATGAGTCGATCATGGGGTGCACCTTGACCATCCCGTGACAGAGTCTATTCGGCATGGTCAGTCATCGGTTAACCTCGCGACAAGGGTTCGAATTCACAAAAGTGAAGAAAACTGACTCCGAAATCGAAATCACTCTATCGCCCGATTTTTCTTTAGATGGGTTTTTAAGAACGAGATTGGTTAACTAACCGTACAAAAATAGTATAATGTTTTACTTTGTTACCCTGTGTTCCGCTTGGAAAGTTAACAGAAATTCTAATGCGATATCGACGGAACAATAAAAATGGATCAGTCACCCATAAAAACATGTTCATACGCATTAGAGGTCAGAAAAAAGATGGATTTTCTCACAGTACTTTTATATTTGAGCTCTGAAACCTGATACATTGAAAAGTAGGAACAGGATGAAACTCCGTAACGGACGGGATTTTTAGATTTTTATTTGATGTAGTGACTTCTATTAAACTATGACGTAATATTTCGATCGTTAACAATGAATAGGTTTTGATTATTGGTCTTTTTCATACTTAAGTGGCATCGATAATTTGTAAGATAAATCAGAACTGCTATTGCATTACTCATCTTTTTTGTTGATCTTTAGAGTACAAAGTGCTCGACGTTCCACCTCGAGCTCGTCTACCATCGACAGTGCCCATTTTTCATTACTCTGGATCGATGATAACATCAACGAATTTTCCGAGGATAATCGTCGAACGCAGTTGCTCCTTCGCGAGGTCGTTCCCTCGGCCGAGTTCGAGTCGGACCTTGACGACGCTATCTCCAGCATTAATCATGTCAAATACAATGACAAGACTCTTCTGATTATCGTTTCCGGCAAAAAGGCGTCACTCATGTTTCAATATTTGACTTACTACGATTTGAATGATGACATCGGAGCATTGTTCATATTTTGTAACAATCCGAGCGATTACCAGAACTTGAAACACGATAAACTGATCGGCATTTTTACCGATCCAAAAATTCTTGTCGAATCGATTCGTGTAAGCATGTTCATTCTTTTAGCTGAAAAAGTCAAAACTCCGGTAAATCTCCTCCATCAAGAGCAAACGTGGTCGCGAATGGTTCCTGCAGTTACGTTAACACGCATCTGGCATCAACTTTTACTCGAAATTCTTAAAGTTTTACCTCGAGACGATCAAGCCAAACAAGAAATGATTAAGAAGAGTCAGGAATACTATGTTGGACAAAGCACAGAGCTACTGCAGATCGATCATTTCCGCAGCAAATACACTGCTGAAATGGCCATCGAATGGTACACTGCCGACTCTTTTGTTCATAAACTCGTCAACCAGGCACTACGCAGCGAGAACATTGATCTTCTCTATGCGTTTCGTTTCTTCATCAGCGATCTCAGTGCAGAGATCGAGCGAGAACATATTAAACAGCAAAAATTGCCTGGAACTGTCGCTTCGAAAATCACAACTGGCTCAGGTTCTGTTATTAAACTGTTTAGCGGACAACAACTACCACGAACCGAACTAGATAGACTCGGGCAGAACATAGGTACCGTTATTGCGATCAATAGTTTCTTTTCCACCTCGATCAGCCTGAGTGAAGCGCGAGATTTCGCTACCCGGGGCGTAATACCAGTCAACATGCAACGGTTGCTCATTGAGATTTTGCTCGATACGTCATTGGACGGCATGACCACCTTTGCTGAAATCGAACATCGCGCACTATTCCGCAGTGAACGGGAGGTTCTGTTCGATTGTGGTGCTCTTTTTAATGTTACTTTTGTTGAATACGACTGGTTTTCGGAAATTTGGAACGTCAAAATGGTGGCTGTTCCCAAAACTTCATTCAGTGAACATCCCTACCACAGTATCGTACGAGAAACGTTCATTCAGAATCATTCGGCTATCGTCGCCTTCGGTATCAGCATGGCACACGGATTTGGAAAAAAAGACGAAGCAATTCGCTATTTCGATCAGATGCTCTCGGCTTACTCATCTGACCACATTGATATTCCAGACGTCTTGCAACAACGAGCTATTTTACATGAAAAGAATGGCGAACATGCGTTGGCTTTTCGTGATTACGGACAGGCGCTTGATATTCGTGGTGAACGAGTCCGTGAAAACCTTTTGGGAATGGCCTCACTCCACAGCAACATCGGTATCCTGTATATGGCAACATCCGACTTTCAGGCGAGCCTCAAAAGTCATCGGGCAGCATTGAGCATTTTCGAACAATTGTATGGGACAGAGGAAGATCATGTAACAAAAGCAAAAGCGAACAAAAACATCGGCTTGACTTATCAATGCGATAGTATGTCATCCAAGGCACTCGAATATTTGACACGCGCTCAGATCACATATGAACGAATTTTGCCTGAAAAACATCTCTTGGCCATTGAACTTCTGGGACACATCCGGACTGTTCACGAAGCTACAAACAATTTCACCTTAGCCATCGAGTTGTTTCGTCGTCCGTTGGACTGGAGCTAAGAAATGTTGCCTTTGGACCATCCGTTGTTGATTACGTACCTCGATTCTATCTTGCGTGTTCATACAAAGACGAATCAAACGTCAAACATTACCGCACTGTCCAGCGAACGTTTGCAGAAACTCAACAAAACTCTTGGCGAACGTCATCCACTTATTCCTCGTCTCATATTGATGGTCGCCTCTCTTCTCGAATCATCACAGCCCCTCGAGGCTATCCGACTCTATGATCAAGCTCTGCAAATCGGTCAGGAATCGGATCGATCTACATTGTTGAAATCTCATCAGAATCTTGCACAATTGTACAGAAAATTCGGAAATCTGAAAGAGGCACTCGACCATGCCCTTCGTGCTCTCATCTATCAACAGCAAATCTCGTCCGAAAACGGAAGTCGATTATCCGAAGCTGATGAGCTGCACAATATTGGCTCGATTTACCTAGAAATGGGATCATTCACCGATGCTCTTCAGTATTTGACTAAATCACTAACTATCTATCGATCAGCATACGCAGTCGATCATCCCACTGTACAAGCAGTTCTCACCAATATTGTTCAAGCGGCCAACCAAAGTCGATCCAGCTGATAGCAACACTTGCAATGAAAAAGCTACGCTAGGCTCAGTGAACTCTTTATTTTTATTTTCAACTTGCTTATCATGTCCACAATTCTATCAATTTTCATGTTGTTTGTAAAAATACGAAAGCTGTATTAGTTTGAATTTTGGTGTCTTCTTCAACTCATTCGTCAGTCAGACGAAAGACGAAAGACTAGGCTAGATGACGTATTACCCCATGCTCTGGCAAGTAACCGGACTCCGTGAGCGTCGCATAGCAGGAGACTAAGACTTTGATTCAGCGAAGAAAAGTGTGAAATAGTGCTGTTGAATGATCTGTCCTGGTAATTGTTAGCAACTATGCACTGGTTGTGATCAAGTCAAATCTCGATCAGGAGCCGTGAGGGTGAGTTAACACATAGGATGTGTTGCGACACACGGCGGAAGACGAGACTGAGTCGCCGTCACAGACCAACAGACTGTTCTCGATAGAACATTCAATAAAGCGTCTTGCGTACGAAAGACACAAAACAAAAGATTCACTCAAAGAGCGGGACTCGAACCACGCATCTCCCGAGATCCGGTCGGTTGCTCTAAACCAATTGAGCTAGCTAGGATACTTCAACTCCATGGGAGTTCTGTATCTATCTGGGTTCTGTTTGTAGTATGTTTAGAAAAGAGTAATGATTGTGCTGTTTTGTTATGTTTTTCCCTCTCAAACGCGATATTTGTTCCTGTGTGACGCTTGATTAACCTTTTTGTTTCTTTATTCCATACTGACTGCTAAAAGAATGAGGACTTATCTGAGTACATGCATTAAACAGCTTGGCTATTGTGACAGTTTTGTTATAATGCTGGATTGTATATGAGAAAGAAGACACAGGCAGTTGGTGCTGCCACTTCACCGAATGTTTTATGGTGGCATTGAATATATAAACCCATGCTAAGGCAGATGACATTAGGAACTATTGGTAAACAACTCATTAAGCAACAACATGTTAAAACGAAACTGCAATAAGTATTGCGTTGGACATTATAATTATTAATGCTGATTATGTTTGGTGGCGCACTAACAAGTCAAAGAAAAACATCAACAGATGGCAGTTATATTTCTCTTGGTCTTGAATTAGTGTTATTTAGTACGGGTATTAACCTTGCATTCGAACATGAAGAGCGATTTATTGCTGGTTTATTAGGCGATAATAAAATTAAATTATTGAACCATTGGAACTGGCTCTGGCCGTATATGGTTCCATAATAAACAACAACATCCGGATTTCAAACTATCATATGGTCCTCGGTTATTCACATGGACACGGTATTCCTTTTGTGTTGCAACATCATAATTAACCACAAACAAGTACCAAGAGCAAATTGGATTTGGTGAGGTTGCGGCATCACTGTGCTGGTAGGGTGCTTTTAGTAGTAGTTTTCGTCTCTTACGGTTTTATTCTGAACTGTTCAGATCAATTTTGTTTATTGTTTGGCTTTCAAGGTTTATATCGGAGTAAGATAAAACATCGTCGATCTGCGGTGCGATGTATCTCAATTCAGAAAACATAAATAAAAAACTCGATTTATAAGTTCGAGTAATAAAAAGAATTTATTTGTCATATAAAAACCAAAAATAAAACTCTATCTTTTTATCTAATCGTACATGAAGAACAAGAGAACATTTTTTTAGACGAAGCTTTTTGAGAAGTACAAGCTAACAAAAAGTGCTTTTCTAAAAAAGAAAAGAAAAGAATGTGTCTAAAAGTTGCTAAAACCAACCGTTTTAGGCAAGATACTCAAATCAATTAAATAATGGGACTCCTCAAAACGTATAGAAAGCCCGAGAGAAAACTCTAGGCTCAATAATAGATTCGTATTCGTATACACAAAAACAGTTTTTTTTGTTCTTTCATGCTATGATAGCCCAAGGTATCCTCTTCAATATGAGAGTCAAGCGAGCCCTTGATTTTCCGCGGCTCGGGTGTTGTGCCGGATTTCCTGCGAGTCTCAGGACTGACACTCAGTGGCTATTAGTAGCCTTGAAAACGGATGGACGATAGGTAATCGATCATGCTGAGCCTTGTGGCAATATTTGTTTTTAGAACAAGTTCTAAAAGTCTACCGAAAAGCGAGTTTTATGAAACTTTGGGTTTTCAGCCTGTTTTCACCTATTAAAAAATTCACTAATCACTCAATAAACATTAGAACGAGTTCAAGGCTTCAGAATGTAGAGTATTTAAGTTATGCTATATCCTATTTATAGGAGATCGCAAAAGAAATTTTACAAAACCCTAAGGTTTTCCAAAAGGCTTTACATCCAGTCACATAGATAGTCCTGACTTCGAGGAATCTATTGATGTATTATGAGTGTCAGTTATACTTAGTTTTGATCAAGTTATAGACAGAATAAATCTCGCACGACATTTTTGATGTAAAATGCGTTTTTCTCGGAAACGAAGTGTTTCTGAAAGCTCGTTTTTTTATCACATACTAATCGTTCAAGAAGAAACAAAGGGTAAAATTCTGACCTCAAATAGATCACTCATTTTCGATTTACAGAGAAAACAACTTTTTAAATCACGCAGGACATTTTGTGTAAAAACAACATTGTATAGCATATTCAAACACGGTTTTTATTGAGATATAAAGACTTGAAAAAAACCCTCTTTTAGTAGCACCAAAATGTAGAGCTACTCTTGCAGTATTTTCCTGCCTATTTGAAAATTTTTTTAAATCATTTGCATCGTATGGAGATCGACTTGAAGTCTCGCAGGACAATATTTTGAAAAGTGTCTGCAACAACAGTTTTTCCTCGGGCTTCTCTGGAAAACTTAATTTTACTTGAAATCAAAGTACATAATTTGAAAGCCCTGTTTTCGGGCTACAAATCCATTAAAGTATAATTTAGTAATCATTAAACAGGGTGGAGGAAAACTCCCGTTTCTTTCGAGAGGCGGCGCCAAAACTACTCTGTTTTGGCCTTGTTTCGTTCATATCTCGACAACCAAATGAGATAGAAATTTTTTCAATACTGAATAACCATCTTTAAACAAACAAATCCCCCAAAAAATATTCAGTTTTGTTCCGTAGAACGACTTTTATAAACAAAACAATCGGTGAACAGCAACGGTACAATGCCAATGCAACTCACTTATATATATGCACCAGACACATGTACAAGGTTATTCGTATGCAGCGATGTGTGTGTGTGTGTGTGACGTTGAGTTCGAAAATTAGTTGCACGCGAAATGCCTCCCATACCGAAAGTACCTGGCTAAGATATTCGGTAGTACATCGAGAGTCTTGAGAAAAATATTTCTGAAAACGTCAAAGGAGAAAGGCGGATAAGCTAATGCCTTATATTATTTTTGAAAAAGAATCACATATCCGCAATCAGCATCGAGTTCTGAACAAAACGACGTATGTAATTCACTCTAAAATTAATTTTCGTTCTTCTCGAAAACGTTTCGGACTAACCACTTTGGAATACCGAAAAACGTTTTGTCTCAGATTTCGTTTAACAGATCATTTTCAAATCATTGACAGGCTGTAAAGAGGCTTTTCTTCAACAGACTCTGAATTGCTTCAATTCACATTGCTCTATCGCATATGTGTAAGAATAAACCATCCATCGAAACCGTATCACTTTCTCAGATATGTACTAGGAATATGAATCATTACGATGGCAAAAAGTACTGTACCGATGGCCCGATGTACCGACAACAAGAACCCGACAAAAAAATCGCTTTCAACCAATAGTACAATATAATATAGCGTGATTCCAATATAGGTATTATTAAACAAAATATTCTTGTGCGAGCTAGATTACGTACAATCATTAATTATATTCAAACATTTTCAACTGGATGTGAATGTGAAGAATTTTGTTTATAAAGCACAATATCAAAAAAAATTTCTTATAATTTCATCATGTGAAATGTCAAACAATATTTTATCTCTATTTTTCATCCTTTCGATAACATTTATATGCTGCGTGCTTTTCGTTTTTCATGTACGTTCTTGTAATATACACCAAGAGTAGGGGCAGATCGTTTGTTACGCCACATACATTTTTTTCGTTACACAACTATTTTCAAGTGTTATTTTTGACTTTGTGCGACAAAATGCAATATTTTTATGTACTTTACTATGTAATTTTTCTTTTTCTTTCCTTCAGTGATTACATTAGATGAGAAAGAGAAAAAAAGTAAAACGTCTCTACTATCAAATCATGATGACATTGCTTATTTTGGTATTCATATATAGAAATTGAAAAAATTTCGGTAGCAATTACAAATACCTTGTTGAGATTCAATTCAAAATGGCTAGTGGAGCGAGTCACGTTGTTAATGCTACCAGTGACGATGTGGTACAAAAACTTTCAACATCTGGTTAGTAACTGTTAAGTTTGGAAATAAAAAACTTTTAAATGGCATTTCTCTTCTACAAACAGAGAAAACACATTCCATTTTTCCAATCTTATGCTTTAGCAGGGTGCCGAATTCGCACTGTGTTAGAGATACTCGCAAATTTTTCTCTCATGCGTTGTTAGACCTCAGTATAAGAATAATTGTTCTTACACTGAGGCCGTTCTTTAAAGAACATTGCTCGTAAAAGACCAAACATAGCAAGTGGTAATTCTCGATTTAAACGTGCTTTGTGTGTATAATTAACTAATTTCTTCTTTGGCTCTAGGTGCTTCATCTAAGAAGTATGTTTTAATCACTGGAGGTAATGCGGGTATTGGTTATGCAGCAGCACAGTTATTTCTTAGTAAGAAGGCTGATATTTGTCAATATGACGTAACAATTGTGGGTCGATCCTTAGAACGATTGAATGAAGCTAAATTAAAGTTGGAGACAACAATAACCCCAGACAATTCAAACGTCATCCACATTGGTTTATGTGATATATCTTCGAAATTATCGGTTGATACTTTTATTAAAGAATTTAAATTGAATAAAATTGATTATTTAATTAATAATGCTGGTGTTTGGCTCACAGAATATACAACATCACCGGAAAGTCATCTGGAAATGACATTTGCCACGAATCACCTAGGTAAAAATATTTTGATCTCCTCATGTTGACAGAACTTAGTGAGAGTTGAGGTTCTTGCTGCTATCTTCTACGACTTATGAGCTTCTAAAGCAGCTATTTTAATCCAGAACTGAGACGGATGTTCTGCTACTCTACGGTCCTTATTTTGCTGGGAGAAAAATACTACTCAACATATACTCATTTTCTGATGATTTTGGGTAATAATGGTCCTGTCTGTGTATAGATGGCAGTCACCATCAATACGCAAAACGGCAGATTTTCTTAAAGCTCTAACCTTTGTCATTTCAAACGTCTTTTCCCGGTTATCCAATATAGACGATCATTTATTATCGTTTCCATAGCACTATACCCTGTTCATTCCCACTTAATCTTGCCCCTCCACATCTTTTACATTATACTACTATGCGTTCAAAATTACGATGGCCTCGGATATTTTTCGAATAACTTTTCACAGAAATGAGATAAAGATCTGCAGTTTTCAGTTTTCAAAACTAGACATCTGATCACATATTTCTGTAAGCAAAGACGGATTTCAGAAAAACTTCTGAATCAGGTTTTTCAGAGGATCTTTGGAAAACTAGCTTGGAAATTCACATAGAAATGTGTTGATTTTCCTTCATGGACTGATAGCCGAGGTGTTCTCTTCAAAATGGGAGTAAAGTGAGAACTTGATTTTCTGCGGTTCGGGCATTGTATCGGATTTCCGACGAATCTCAGGACTGGCACTCAGTGACTACTGGTAACCCTAAAGACGAATGGATTATCGATAATCGACCATACTGAGCCTCTTCGCAATATTTGTGTTTGGAAACAGTATTAAAAATCTACCAAAAAGCCAGTTGTACGAAAATTAGGGTTTTCAGACTGTTTTGACCTAATATCAAAAAATTCACTATTCACTCAAAAAACATCGGCGCGAATTCAAAAGTTGAAAATGTAGAGCATTTAAACTATTCTATATCCTGTTAATAGGAGATCTCGAAATCATTTTTAGAAAACCCTAAGGTTTTCCAAAAGAGTTTGTGAAAAACCTATCAACAAAAATATCCTTTTCGATTTTTTCGATCTTACAATCACGTTTAGCGGGCAACATTGATCATATCCCGAGATTTTGAACTTGTTCTGATGTTTTTTGAGTGAATAGTGAATTTTTTGATATTAGGTCAAAACACCCTGAAAACTCTAATTTTCGTAAAACTGGCTTTTTGGTAGATTTTTAAAACCTTTTCCAAACACAAATATTGCGAAGAGGCTCAGTATGGTCGATTATCCATAGCCCATTCGTCTTTAGGGTTCGGAAGCTCCAAGCTAGTTTTCCAAAGATCCTCTGAAAAACCTGATTCAGAAGTTTTTCTGAAATCCGTCTTTGCTTACAGAAATATGTGGTCAGATGTCTAGTTTTCAAAACTGAAAACTGCAGATCTTTATATCATTTCTGTGAAAAGTTATTCGAAAAATATCCGAGGCCATTGTATTTTCGAACGCATAGTAGTCGTAATTGAGCTAGATTTTTCTATCCAATTATGATCTATCAGTGAAATTTTCTACACGTAATCTACAAACATCAGAAAATATTCTGCCATAGTTTCAAGTCATAATATTGATGGTAAGTGGAACAAAATATTTTCTTATTCTGATAACAAAAATCAAAAGTATAAAGATACGAAAAAATCTCAAAAATTTCAGTCAGAAATAAGAGTGTAGACAGTATGAGGAATGGAATAGGTAACTGAAGAGTAACTATAGACATCTTCGACGTCAAGTCTGGTTTATCTCGCCTAGTCTGAGTCACAACTAAGCATCAAAGCGAATGCATCAAGCAAAACTGAGATATCTCCTCAATGATACAATCAGATGAATTGAAACTTTTTATCTAATCTGCAATTCTGATTTACCATATGCATACACCTTTTCAAGTCAACAGATGTTATGGATCGTGAGTTATAGAGGAGTACATACTTTTCTTCAGTAGTGTCATTAGGAGGCCGGTATCAAAAGTCTGTTGCCGGTTCTTTGAATGGATATCGACCAGGAAAATGAGACTAGAGATTCTGTGAATGTGATCTCAATGTCGAAAGTATAGCGTTAACGCCACATTCGTATTGGTGAATTATTCTGAATGAGTGAATTTGGGCTTGGGAACATGACGAGGCTGATACGTGCTTAACTTAAGAGTAGCCCCGTTTGGGAAATATGGTCAAGCATAAACTAAAAATGACTAAGTCTTCTCCTTTCCATGGCTGATTGAAAACTTAATTAAGCACTTTTTCATTTTTGTCACAAGTCTCTAGCTATTCAGATTCCTCAGTTAAAACTCAGTTTTTTATATCGATCCATTACATCCTTCGATAACTTCATCCGATACACTTCAAAATTTTACCATAAATACTAGACAACATTCCCGAGGTGGAATTTTTTTCCTTTCCTTCTATCATCTTTTCTTTTCAGCTTTTCTGAGTTTTATAATTGAAAAACCTGGATTTTAAGACGCTTTTCAGTGTTTTTGCAATAACTGGGAAAGGTAGACAGGTAAAACAAAAACAAATGTTTCCCTGGAGAATGTTGTCTGGTATTTACGATTAAAATTTTTGAAGTCGATCAGGTAAAGTTATCGAGAGATCGTAATAGAACGATATGAAAAATCGAGTTTTAACTGGAGGGATCTGATACCTCGAAACTTGGGACAAAAACAAAAAAGTGCTCAATTGAGTTTTCAATTAGTCCTGGAAAGGAGAAGGCTTAGTCATCATACAATATCTACAAGAATCTTATAGAAATTTTACAAAATCTTATATGCTCCAGTCGATAGAAATGCAGATTGTGGTTATAACATTCTTATCAAAGAAATTTATAAGATTTCTATAAGATTCTTATAGTTAAAAACAAAAAGAAAACATCTTTTTTTGTTGTCTGGAAGACAAGGGCAAAGTTTTGAACATTTTTTATAAGGCACTATAAGATTATAAATATCTTATAAAAAAATTATAAACTGAAATCTTACCAAAATCTTATTGACTTCTTATAAGATTCTTATAATTCGCAATATA